AGAAAAAATAGCTAATGGATGCTGAGCTGAATACCTAGGTGATAAGATGATCTGTGCAGCAAACCACCATGGCACACATTTACCTATGTAAAAAACGTACACACCCTGCACATGTACCCCTGAACGTAAGGTCGCAAAAAAAAAATAAATAAATAAACCCTTTATCTCTTTTCTTACCTCTGATCTCTTCCCCTGGCATATTTTGGAGCCCTTCGATTCATAGCAAAGTCTTTAAATACCTCTTTCATGTTTTCTTACCTCCTTATTTCTCTGGGTTACATTCTAAGTCAATGTCTAATAAATGCCAATAATTGAATTCTCCCTCTCATGGCACCTAATGTAGTATTCTTCCTTAGTAACATAATGTATTGATTATTTTACTTTAAGAATTTTCAATTTTCAAGACTGCTCCTTTTTCGTATCTTGTTTCATCTGTTCCCTATTTTGTGCAAGACAGAATTTCTTCTTTCGTCCCTCTAGCATCTTCAACATACTTATTATTTATTACTCCCCTCTAATGTTTCTGTGATTACCTGCATGGCAGAACCAGATCATATGTGGGTTCCCTAAAACAATAGTGGGAATTTTCAGACTCTTCCCTAAGACAACATTGGGAATTTTCACCCACTCAGTCACCAACCAAATGAATAGACATTTCAATTCAGGTGTCAGTTATAAAAATTATGTCTGTCTTCACCCTTTCCTCAGCTTTTGATTTCCTGTAAGTAGTGTTTTAATATAAATTTCTATGCAAACTACTATCCTTCTGAATATTAAAGGAGTCCTTAATAATAAATACATGAACAACAAGCACAAACAGGGAGTCTCAAAGGTAACTTGAGATAAATGATTACTCTAAACATAAGCCTATGTAGTAGCTATTGGCACTTTCTTTCAGCCTCCTTTACAAATAGGGAGATTCCCATTAGGCCTTGGCTTCATGTACTAAGTCTGATTCTATTATCCTATTCTTCAGGAAGCACTTTAACACTCAAAAGTCAAACTCCTGGCTGTAAGTATTTGCTTCTTTGTCCTAACTCTATCCTGTTCATCACTTTGTAGTTTTCTTCCATACAAACAACAGAAATACTTCATTTCTAAAACACTGATGCCTGCTTGTACTATCTATCTATCTATCTATCTATCTATCTATCAATCAATCAGAGATAGAGTCTTCTTCTGTCCACCACGCTGGAGTGCAGTGGCACGATCTCAGCTCATTGTAACCTCTGCCTCCCAGTTGAAGCAATTCTCCTGTCTCAGCCTCAAGTTGCTGAGATTACAGGCATGCGCCACTATACCTGGCTAATTATTTTTTGTAATTTTCTTTTTTTTTGAGACGGAGTTTCACTCTTGTTACCCAGGCTGGAGTGCAATGGCGCGATCTCGGCTCACCGCAACCTCCGCCTCCTGGGTTCAGGCAATTCTCCTGCCTCAGCCTCCTGAGTAGCTGGGATTACAGGCACGCGCCACCATGCCCAGGTAATTTTTTGTAGTTTTAGTAGAGATGGGGTTTCACCATGTTGACCAGGATGGTCTCGATCTCTTGACCTCGTGATCCACCCACCTCGGCCTCCACAAGTGCTGGGATTACCGGCGTGAGCCACCGTGCCCAGCCTATTTTTTGTACTTTTAGTAGAGACGAGACTTGAACATATTGGCTGGGTTGGTCTTGAACTTCTGACCTTGTGATCTGCCCACCTCAGCCTCCCAAAGTGCTGGGATTACAGGCATGAGCCACTGTACCCAGCCTAAAGTGGTACTATTTTTAATAATACGATAATACTGCAAACAGTTTAAACAAAATCTAGTTAAATAAATCATGATCCAGGTATTTTAGGAGTTACTGCACAAATAATAAAACTAAGAAGGTAAATTCATAGAAAAAAAATGTGCACAATAGACTGTCACATCAAAAAAACTTACAAAAGTTTGTAAATTATTCCACATCAAAAAAACTTATAAAAGTTTGTAAATTATTTTAAATATCGCTAGTAAAAATATAAGAAAATTACAGTAAAGTAAAAATAAAATGAAGCAGATTTCAAGAGAAGAACAGTGAGACGAAGTTGAAAGGTGGGTTAAAACTAAATTATGGAAGGTACCAGTGTCCTGACTACTAATCATTATCTTTTAGAAAATGAGGACCAAAAAGTTTCAGCAGAAGACAGCTGGGAGCAGTAACTCATGCCTGTAATCCCAGCACTTTTGGAGGCTGAGGCAGGCAGATTACTTGAGGTCAGGAGTTTGAGACCAGCCTGATCAACATGGTGAAATCTCGTCTATACTAAAAATACATGGAAAAAAAGAAAATGAGCTGGGCATGGTGGCAGGTGCCTGTAATCCCAGCTACTTCGGAGGTTGAGGCAGGAGAATCGCTTGAACCTGGGAGGCAGAAGTTGCAGTGTGCTGAGACCGTCCACTGCACTTCAGCCTCGGCAACAGAGTGAGACTTTTTCTTAAAAAAAAAAAATAAAGTTTCAGCAGAAGAGACACAATATAAAAGAGTATAATTAGAAAACAGTAATGTGGATGAAGAATAGAATGCTGTGAATAAAACTGAAAACGCTTCCTTTGCTCAATGTTTTATTTCAAATATAGATGATGATAACAATTTGCTCATATTAAACAAGGGCTGGCATTAAGCTTTAATACAATATGCATGAAAAGTATTTTTTCGTAAACAAATATCTGATAAAAAAAAAAAAAAAATTAGAAAAAAAAAAAAAAAAAAAAAAAAAAAAAAAAAAAAAAAAAAAAAAAAAAAAAAAAAAAAAAAAAAGGAAGCAAAGCCCGGAACGGTGACTCACACCTGTAATCCCAGCACTTTGAAAAGCCAAGCGGATCAAAAGGTCAGGAGATTGTGACCATCCCGGCCAACGTGGTAAAACCCTATCTCTACTAAAAATACAAAAATTAGCTGGGTGTGATGGTGCAAGCTTGTAGTCTCAGATAGTTGGGAGGCTGAGGCAGGAACCAGGGAGGCAGAGGTTGCACCACCACTGTACAGAGTAACACTCCTGCTGACAGAGCAATACTCCTTCTAAAGAAGGAGGGAAAAAAAAGCAAAATACCTAAAATGCAATTACCGAAATTTTACATAAAAATACATTTTTCTGCTTGTTTTTCTACCTAAAGGTGGGAAGCAACAGAACAGGTCTTTTAAATTAATTCTTCTGTAGCTTGTTAACAATTCTTCTATTAAAGTATAATGAGGCTCGGCATGGTGGCTCATGCCTGTAATCTCAGCACTCTGAAAGGCAGAGGTTAGTGAATCACTTGAGGTCAGGAGTTCCACACCACCCTGGCCAACATGGTAAAACACCGTCTCTTCTAAAAATACAAACATTAGTTGGGCGTGCTGGCCCACACCTATAATCCCAGCTGTTTGGGAGGCTGAGGCATGAGAATCGCTTGAACCCGGGAGGTGAAGTTGCAGTGAGCCAAGATCATGCCACTGCACCCCAATCTGCACAACAGAGGGAGACTGTCTCGGGAAAAAAAAGCACAATGAATAAATTGTCAAGCTTAATGACAAAAGGTCACAAATCTATTTTTATATTGAACTTATATAATTTACATGTTGTCATCTATTGCTTTGGGTACAACTGGAACTTGAATACATGTTTCACCATTTAGCATCATCCCACAAATCCATCTCCTTCCCTGACCCCACAAATTCCAAGACTCTTGATCACAACACATCAATCTGGTAACACACATAAAAGGAAAGAAACACTAAACACCCTTAAGGGCTTCAAAAAGAAATATACATTAAAAATATAATAGAAAGTATACTAATGAAAAGTTGCCTGTTCTAGTTCTAAAAGTAATTCTCTTTCACAATTACTTAAAAGTTTTTTTTTTTTTTTTTTTTTTAAATACGATGGAGTCTTGCTCTATCACCCAGGCTGGAGTACAGTGACACAATCTGAGCTCACTGCAACCTCCGTCTCCTGGGTTCAAGCAATTCTCCTGTACACTTCTTGTGAAAGGTGAACTAGTACAATTTTTGGGAAAGAAACACAGTATTTATGTATCTCACAGTTTAAAAACACCCGTTAGCCAAATAATTGCATTTAAAAATTTTAAAATATGTAGATGTAAACATAAATAATAAACACATTTTATACAATGATAGAAATATTGACACACTAAAGAAAAATAATTTTGGTTCACTCTTAATAATGCACTAGTATGAATGATGCTACTGCAGAATACTTAATATTTGAGGAATAAATGAGAAGAGATAAGAGAGTAAGGAAGTTATAAATGGTCACATTCATACACAAAATAACCATGAAATAATTCTGGTTATTCCTAATTGACTATTTAAGAATACTTTTTTAATATCCTTTTTATTTTTATTATTATTTTTTGAGACGGAGTCTCACTCTATTGCCCAGGCTGGAGTGCAGTGGTATGAACTCAGCTTACTGCAACCTCTGCCTCCCGGGTTCAAGCAATTCTCGTGCCTCAGCCTCACAGGCGTGTACCACCATGCCCACCTAATTTTTTTTTTTTTTTTTAAGTAGAGATGGGGTTTTACCAGTTGGCCAGGCTGGTCTCAAACTCCTGACATCGTGATCCACCTGCCTCAGCCTCCCAAAGTCCTGGGATTACAGGCGTGAGCCACCGCACCTGGCATCCTTTCTTCTTTCAAATATTCTGTGAGACACATGTGTTACTTATACTAAATCAGATTCAAAATCTGATTCAAAATTCAAAAATACATCATGACAATAAAAATTATCTTGGGTAGCTTCCAGCAGATCTTTTTACTTAGTACAATTTAAACAAAAGTACATCTTACTGTTAAACAAGGTACCTTTCCTGACACTTTTCACAAAACAAACCAAAATAAAAACCTTTCAGGATAAACCAAAAGGTTTCTTACATATTCAACAGGGGTATATAAGATGCCAATATATACATTAACTGATTCCACACAGGTTGTTAACTGTATTGCTTTATATGCGAAATAAAAACTTAAAATTTACCTGCATTGCACTTTTCCCCAGTTTCACCACCTCAAATAATGTGACAGGCTCCCCTTCGCCATTCTGTTGAGGGTGCCCATTAGCTCTTCCACGGCCTGTTCCTCTAATTCCAGCTTCAATTCTGCTCTTCTCACCTGGAGATTTTCGAGGTTTCTTATTTGTAGACTGAATATAAAGATTAAAAAAGATTACATTCAATTCAGGTTTATTTTGCTTTACAGAAAACAATCACTACTACAAATAAATATAATCCCTAACCAAAAGAAACTTTAAAATTTCTTCTTAGTGATTAAAAAAAGTTCAAAGAGCAAAACATAAGTTTACATAAAAAGGTATAAAGGTAACTTTTCCTTTTGTTGGAGACAGAGTATTGCTTTGTTGCCCAAGATGGAGTGTAGTGGCACAATCTCGGTGCACTGGAGCATCTGCCTCCTGGGTTCAAGCGAGTCTCCTGTCAACCTCCTGAGTAGCTAAAATTACAGACCCTGCCACCACGCCCAGTTAATTTTTATATTTTCAGAAGAGACGAGTTTCACCATGTGTGAGTCCAGGCTGATCTCATACTCCTGACCTCAAATGATCCTCTATGGGAAGTAGAAAACTTCCTTTTTAAAGTTTCTTTCTTGTTAGAATAAGTGTGCTAATAACTTTTTTAAGTCCTATCCATGTAGCTGTTGGATGTGCCACGCTTACGGGCATGTAGTATATTCTACGTCCTTGTACTTTAACCAAGATATCTGTTCTGAAAGACACGTCCCAGCTCTCCATTGCTTTTACCTGTTTAGAAAAGTTTTAAGTTGTTAACCAATTGGGTTTTAGTTTATATTGTGAGGTCTGGCTCCAGCCAGTGGAGATCAGACACAGCAGTACGGACGACCCCAAATGTGTAAGAAATAAATTTGTGTGTTTTCCTTTGTTCTTTGTACTCTTGTGACACAATGGCTAGCAAGAGTACCCTTCCTGCAGTCCAGGAAGTAAAATTTGTGTTGCTGAAAGATCTCAGTACTAATTTTTCTTTGCGGCACTGAGCATCTATTTCCAACATTCGCCTTGGCCTTCCAAAATGCTGGGATTAAAGGCATGAGCCACCACACCTAGATAATGTTTTAAAAATTGCTTTAGTGGTTAGTACAATAATAATGCCAATGCTGAATATTTTAACCTTCAATCTGCATACCTTCGTTGATACTCTCCTACTTCCTCAGAAATCTTGCACAAAAATACTTCTGGGAAATGCCATATATTCAACTTCTCCCTCTACTGAAATGCTCAAGTATTTCTTAATCATGCAACAAATATGCTGAACATATCTGGAACTATTTCAGGTACTGACAATACAGTAATTAACAAAAGACAAACATTCTTGCCCTGATGGAGCTTACATTCTTCAATTAACATACCACTCCCTGCCCCTAGATACTAGAGGAACACTACAAACTTTATTTTGCAAAGTTAATACTTGCTATAATTTTATCTATATCTCACCTTTGGGGCCAAGGATCATTGGAAAAAATTGTTAGCAGTCACTATATCTATTCCTATCAGTTTCATTCATTCATACACAAACTCATTCTATGGCTGCTGCTTCACCAAACTCACCAGTGACACCAATGTTGCTAAATGCAATAGACATTTCTTGAAACTCTCTTAACAAATTTTTTTTTTCCTTTCCTTTCAGTTATTTTTTTCCCTGTGTTTCTTACCTGGAAGTATTACCTAGAGGTCTCCCCTAAGCATCTTTTCTTTTCAATCCTTATGCCCTTTATTAATTTAATTCATTCCCATTAGATGCCTGTTCCACTATCAATTTATTGTCTCTCATTTCCAAATCCACCCTTATTTGCCCTGCTTTTTCATACTGAAGCTGGACCCTGTAAACATTTATTTTTTGCCATCTGCTGTGGTATTAGGCTTTGTAAAAGGAAGGTACTAGAGGAAGACTACAAGACACAGCTTGGAGTGGCTTCTTTTCCTTATATAGTACCTGCTCCCTGCATTTGCTTTTACTGTGTTCCTGACAGTATAGTACTCTTTTCATATCTGTTGGCGGTTAATGATCCTCTAACCATTTCTGTGTACGGATTGATACAGTGTTAACTGTTTAATTTTTAAATAAACTTTTTAAAGAAACTTTAAATTATTTAAAAAAAAATTTATGAAGATAGTATAGAGAATTCCTAAATACTTCACATCTAGTTACTCCTATAATTAACATATTATATTAGTATGGTACATTTGTTACAATAAAGCAATACTGATACACTAACAACAGCCATACTTTATTTCAATTTTCCTTTTTTTTTTTTTTTTTTTGAGACCGAGTCTTGCTCTGTTACCCAGGTGGAATACAGTGACACCATCTCAGTTCACTGCAACCTCCACCTCCCAGGTTCAAGTGATTCCCCTGCCTCAACAGTCAGAGTAGCTATGATTACAGGCGTCTGCCACCACACCCAACTAATTTTTGTGTTTTTAGTAAAGACAAGATTTCGGCATGTTGGCCATGCTGGTCTCGAACTCCTGACCTCAGGTGATCCACCAGCCTCACTACCCAAAGTGCTAGGATTACAGGCATGAGTCACCACGACCCGCCTGAATTTTCTTACTTTTTGCCTAATGACCTTCTTCTGTTCTAAGAGTCCATTCAGGATACAATGTTACATTTAGTCATCATGTCTTCCTAAGCTCCTTTTGGCTGTGACAGTTTCTTGGACTCTCCTGGTTTTTGATGACCGCAGGAATTTTGAGAAATACTGATCAGGTATTTTCTAACAGGTCCCTCAGTGGGATCTGTATGATGTTTTTGTCATGACTACACAAGGGATTATGGGATTTGTAAAGAAAGGAGCGGTAATATGCCTTTTTTATCACCTCATATCAATAGTACATACTATCAACATAATTAATCACCATGATATTGACCTAAATCACTTGGCTGAGGTAGTGTTTTGTCAGGTTTCACCTCTGTAAAGTTACTCTTCTGACACTTTCCATAGTGTACCCTTCAGAAGAAAGTCATTATGTATGCCCCACACTTAAGGGGTAGGATACCTGGGAGTATCGCATGGGCCTAGGAGGCTGAGGTTGCAGTAAACAGAGATTGTGTCCCTGAACTCCGGTGACAGAGCAAAACCTTGTCTAAAAACAAAAAACAAAAAAAAAAGGCCAGGTGCAGTGGCTCATACTGTAATCCCAACACATTGGGAGAAAAGGCAAGGACTGCCTGAGCCCAGGAGTTCAAGACCAGTCTGGGCAACATGGGTGAGACCCTGCTGCTCTTAAAACACACACACACACACACACGCACACGCACACACACACACACACACACACACACACACGTATAATATGGTATAAAAAAATTGAAAAGAGGAGCAAAGAGAAAACAGACTGCAGAAAATAGACAAAACAAAACCAACAAGAGTCCAGCTTCTAATGAAGCTGGAGAAAAAGAAGCCATGTCTGATTAATATCTTATACTATTATCAGTGGTCCCTGTCTCTCTTTTAGTATAATCCAGAGGAATATTCTTAACAACTATTGTATAAATACAAGTTTTTTAGTAGCTCTAGAAACATTTTTAAGAAGTAGGGAATTTTATCCACATCCCATTTTTTAAATGTAAATGCTTTCTGTTTTTAAGAGGTGAAATCATTTACTGGTGTTTATTTTTTGGCACAACCAGAAAACAGTGTGGGATATTGAATTGTGGGAGGCTTTGACTGTCTTGGGTGTCAGCAATTCTATAGATGGGGGTTAGTTTTCATATTCTACAATACAAAGCACATAAAATGGCAATACAGAGTCATAGTCCTGCATTAAAATTTTTTTTTTGCATTTTAATGTCTTAGATATTTTAAATTATTTCTATTCCATGTTGTTGTTGTTGTTTTAAAAAGCAGAATTGTTTCCTAAAAACAAACAAAACAATAACAACAAAAAAATCACTCCTTGATCGTGGCTCTCCCTGTCAGAATTGTGTGCACTCTAATATCTTTGGTTGTGGTAGTCCTGTTTTCCTAATTACTTTGTTAATGTACTGTGAAAGACTGAAAATTTGAGTATGCAGTGTGTATGCCATTAAACTGAAATGGAGAATTATATGTAACAGCTTATCAACATGTGAAGATATTGGTACTTGATAGCCTCAAGTAAAATCTGCCTCCAAATTTTAAGCTGGGAAGTCACTGGAGTAACTTTAAAAAAGAATTACAAACATTTAGATTTTAAGAATTGCACACAAATTGACATGTCTGTGCACTAATCCTCAACACAACCAACCAAATCTCAATTATGAAAGAAAAAGCATTCACTCTTTGTTCTATAAAGTTCTAAGGATTTTAACAAATGCTTGGTGTTGTGTATGCACAATTAGTGGTATCACAGAGAAGAGTCTCACTACTTTAAAAATCCTGTGTATTGCCCATTCAACCCTTTATCTTCCCCTTCTCAGGCAACCACTAGTTTATACTTTTTAAATCATCATCATAGTATCCTTTTTTCCACATATTAATATATGGGTTAATTATCCCTTATCTGAAATGCTTGGAATAAATAAGAAGTATATCAGACTTTGAGTTTTTTCAAATTTTATAATATCTGCACATGCATAATGAGACATCTTCAGGATGAAACCCAAGTCTGAACATTAAACCTGTTTATGTTTCACCTTATACACAAAGCCTAAAAGGAATTTTACATAATATTTTTAATAATTTTGTGCATAAAACAAAGTTTTGATTTTTCCTTTTTTTTTAAGACACAGACTTAACTCTGTCACCGAGGCCAGGGTACAGTGGCACGATCACAGCTCACTGCAACCTCCACTTCCCAAGCTTAAGCAATCCTCAAGCCTAAGCCACCTGGGTAGCTGAAACTATAAGCAGCAGCCACCATGCCTAGCTCATTTTTTTGTTTTTGTCTTTTTTTTTTTTTTTGGTAGAGACGGGTTTTGCCATGTTGCCCAGGCTGGTCTCAAACTCCTGAGCTCAAGCTATCTGCCTGCCTCAGCCTTCCAAAATGCTGGGATTACAGGAGTGAGCCACTGCATCTGACTTTGATCTTGATTTTAACTGTGACCTGTCACATGAGGTTATGTGTGCAATTTTTTACGTGGCTGTATGTTGGCATTCAAAAAGTTTCAGAGTTCAGAGCATGTGAGCTTT